AAAACAATAACCAGGTTATAAGCAAAGGGTGGCTAATAAACATATATACAAGGTAATATAACAATGAACTAATTACAAGATCTTTCAAGATTAAGGACATTTACAATAACTATTAAATACCATACTTCTATGGTAATAAAAGGATCTCTTGGCCACTTCTGTTCTTATAGCAGGCAGATGCAAGAGATTGCTCTGGCGGGTTGAACAAGCACAAATGTCCTTGTTAAAAACAAAGTAGTTCTTAAAATACTGAGGGCAGCGACCATGTATACATTTCCTTACAAGCTTTAGGATGTGTTCATCGCGCCTGGAACTAAGACTTGGCCACTTAGTCAAAGCTTTCATCGCAGTGTCACTACTAGATGTTTTAATCACAATTCTTCCAACGCGCTTCTCCAGAGTTTTATTTATATAATTACCTCCCCAAAACACCCCCATTGCTAATATTATTAGACGAGGATTAATGCACATAGTCTTATTGATTTGTGTCTCTACTGAACCCAAGTTCTGATCAATGAACTGTTTGATTTTACTGAACTATACACTCAAAAGGCAAGACTAATTTGAATTCTGTAGAAGAGTGCGACTTGAGGGCCACACGCGAAGGTCCTGACAATTGATTATCACTGGCTCATTGCACCTGGGTTCCTGTATGAGCATGAAGATGACTGGCCTTAAGGAAAATGTATAGCATAAGGAGCCCTCAGAATAGCGTCTAGCCCAGATAGTCACCCTGAAGATTACCTTTATGTTAGCAGTTTCACTGCCATTGGTTGATACACTAATGTACGCTAGTTGGAACCGACTTTAAAAAGGTTAAGGAGAACTGTGGGTGAAACAAGCACAACAGTGCGTGGGAAAGATTTCCTGAAGATACGAAAAATTTGATTGGAGGTAGAAAAGTCAGATGGCAGAGCCACTTGAAACCTCTGACTTTGTCTTTGTTCACCTGTTATTAAATTGTATTGAGAATCACTTGACCAATAAATGGATTTGCACTAAATTTGTTGATAGCAAATAAGTCGCAAAAACGTCAAAACGTTGGAGTAATTTGGCCGTTGGAATTTTTTAGTGTTTTCACGCTCAGGAATAGTAAAAAAATGTTCCAGGGGCAAATACAACGGCTGTTCTCGCATACTGCAAGTCATTCCACTTGAGGAGACCACTATCTTTACTATGTTATTTTTTTTCTATTGCAGATGTCAATGCAAGGAAAAATTTTCCTTGGATTAATTTTGGTGTCAGTGTGGACAGTTGAAGGCAAGTAAAATTATGATTCGTTTGTATTGTCGTCTTTTACGGTTTTTTCTTGTCTGTGTTATGTATTAACAAACCAGCTAATATAAAAGAGTAGCACAAAACAATTCAAAACCAAAGTATGGGCAAACACATTATTTTGAGTGTAAATGATAATAAATGTGCAAGAATTAATTTTTCGATTGACAAGCAAAGTGTTGGGGTGAATTTGACACGTTCTAAGGGACTGTGCAATAATTATCAGGAGGGGGGGCCCTAAAACCAGAGGGGGGGCCTTAAGTTAAAATAATGGAAAGGAGGGGGGGCTCTACATTAGATTTCTCAAGTAAGTTGAGGGGGGGTCTTAATTAAATTTCACAAATTCCATAATGAATAAATAAACATTTTCCAAATAGACAGATGCCAAGGCCTTTGACTATCCATAATGTCTAAATATTGCATCAACATAAACACATGCTTTAACTTATTTAGAATGTCAACATATGATAGATTGAAACAATCGTTTATGCACAGAAGTCACAAACCACGTTGTGAGCTTTGCCAATAAAACATTTGGCATTTAAGGGGTCCCGCAGACATGCCAGGTCTGTTCTTGATTTAAACAGCGAGAGGGTTTCTAGGTCTACAGTTACTAGCTGAGGGATGCCACATGCTTCTGTTTCATAGTTGTCATCAATGGGTTCACCTCCCAAAGACCGAAAAATTATACAGGTACGGGTTAGAGAGGCGGGGCACATCATAATTTTGAGAGAACGTGAGGGGGGGTCAGAGCTAATCTTGACGCTGCCGGAGGGGGGGACCTATCTAATTTTTCCTTTGGTGAAGCTCATTTTAGGACCCCCCCTTCCTGATAATTATTGCACAGTCCCTAAGGCAATCGAAATGCTGAAATTGTTGTTATAAATTGTATATATATATAAAAACATTACTCCATGTCGGCTTATTTTCTTGTAGCTTATAGATCAGCCGCTGCTATAATCCGTATGGGAAATCTACCGACTCATAACACTGGACGTAAATCGTATTAATGCATCTTTTCATTTTTTGAACAGGTTATCATTTTTAATGAATGAAAGAGCTGGCCACTGAGATAAAACAGGGGGTCATCATAACGAATAATAACCTACTGTTCCATTTCAGTGGCCGAAATAATGACCTGCTGGTTCTAAAACAATGGAAAAGGTGCATTGAATCAAATAATGACCTCGCCGCTTCAGCCTTCTGCCGCTGTTTTGTAAGAAGGCTTCGGGCTCAAGCATTATCCTGTATATATTACATTGCATCTTTGCGTAATGTATTACTAACCTTTTTTACTGTTTTCTTCGAAATTTGTAAGATAATCTAGGACGGTTTACCCTGTCCATTCATATGGTTCTGTTACCAAATCTCAATGCTTTCTTTACTTGCGTAACTTTCAGAACCTCGCCTTAAACCAAACAAGCTTCTTGATTAAGCACCATTGAGTTTATCAAAAATGTCCTTAATTATTAAAATAAGAGTCTTTTATTAAAGTCTTCTAATTTCCCGTATTCTGAAAACGTAAAACCTACAAAAACTTTGCATTCAACAACGGTGGATACATGTTTTGAGCCATTCAGCTCAGAGGTTGCATTTGATTGACTCTTTGCATGTGATCGAGTATTTATGTCGCTCAACCAATCTCCTTACCAATGGCGGTGTGTACAGTTACTTTTTATAGAACTGACACTCAGACAAACAAATGAGTCTTAAGTCATTAAAATATAACATTTGTCTGACTCTTTAAAAAAAAAATGAAAAACTCGAAACAAACATTGCAAACATCATTTGTCCCTCCGTAACAGACCCAGTGAAACCCTATCCAGTGGTTCAATTCAGTATATCCAGTGATAATTTATCCTCCCTAATACCTGGGGAATAGTTCGTTTCTACCCGCATGTTTTTTGCCCCCCCCCCCTCCCCCCTCCGCCCGTACCCACTTTCTATTGTGGCTTCTACAAAATCAGTGTATTTCGTTATTCATATTTGATGTTTAAAAAAAGCAAAAATATAACCATAATTACCACTGACAAAAAAAAAGGGTTTTAAAAGGTTTCATACCAGTAAAGATGTAGGGATGTTAGCCATTTTGGCTTTTATGAGAGATACAAAACTTAGAACTAAAAACCCAGTGGAAAATAAACCCGCCCGGTGACATTTTCTCCGGTAAACCGGTGAAGATATAGATTTTACTGGGTATGTTAAAAAAGGGTGTTCATGATCATTAGCCGATATAATAGCGATCATAATAATCCGGCTTCTCAGTTGTGCTATGGAACCGAAGAGAATTCTTATCAGTTATAACGCGTTAAGCGTTAAAAGTTAGCCTGTCAAGAGAGTAAAGTTTGTGAGTTTTTGTTTTAAACATTGATTTTTGCACTCCTATTTGCAGTTGTCAACTCTGAAGCATGTTCCTTTGCTGTTAACGGATCCAGTGGGTTCATCAGCTCCAGTGGTACCGAGAACTACAAGCGTTGTACGTGGATCATCACAGCACCATCTAACCACACCGTCAAACTGATATTTACGACATTTCATCTATTCAGACATTTGCGGTATGGAGCCGAGATCCAAGTCTATGACGGAAAAAAGACAAGTGATCCCGTACTAGGAGTTTTTACTGGAGAAAGACAGCCCTTCCTCATACAAACAAGTGGTCGATTCATGATGCTGTCTGTAAAAAAGGAGTATTCATTTCTGCCTTGTATCTTTGAAGGAACATATTATACGAGAAAAGGTAAGCCAGCGTAAGTTATCAGAACGACAGAATATGAACTCAATAAGAATGCTAATTAGCTCATCATTAAATATGACTTTGACTAATGGCGCGGCTCACGGGTCGCGGGTCGCTGATTATATGTCGCGGGTGCGGGATTGATGTCGCGGATGCGGGTCGAAAGTCGCGGGTTGAAAATTATTTTGCGTGAAATTCAAGTTAGAGTTCGAGGTAAATGACTAAAAGTGACCTGATAATATGTAGGTAATAACTCCTCTAAGCCACTAAAAAGAATCCTCCTTTTGAGGGAGGGTCTAGGTGATTGATAAGAAATTTCACAACTGAAATGAAATAACTCCCCCATCAAACTTAAAGTCTTAAAACGTTTACAGAAAAAGAATCGTTTTTATGCACAAGACTCCTCGGTAGCAACCAACAGCCAATTCACAGGTTACGAATGTCAGAGTCAATATTATCGTCTAAAGTAAAGAGCTAAAAGAAAAATCGGGCCGAATTATGTTTTTTTCTTATCGTATATCCGGCCCCGACGAATAGTTACCTACTGCTCTATTTCAGTGACCCAAGTAAGAAGATGCTGGGTAACTTTTAACACATGAATTCACCTGTCAAAACTTTGACCAATCTGTGACTAGATGTTTCTAGAGCGGGAACAAACGCGTGGCCAAGCTAAAAGCGTACCTTTCAAACTTTATTTGTGAAAGTATTTTTTTTTTTGTCGTAAGTTAAACAAACGGAATCCGAGATCTTTATTGGAATAGGTTTCAATATTTTATAGCAATGGAGGCTCCACCACACGTATATGCTGAGGCTCCGCTAAATACTCTTGGGTTTCGTTGAGCGAGGTGTTCTACAATGCAAAGAGTATTCGCTTATATTTTGAAGTATTTTTGAAGTAGGTTTAAGAAACTGTAATTCTGCTTGCAACCTGATATAACTTGAAATTGGAACATCTTAGAAACCTGCTAAATTGACTTTTTCAGAAAAGCCGAGGATAAGGGTACCGTTGGCGGAGTTGCGAACTGTGCCAGAGCATTATATCTGGTTTCTGCTGGAAGGTACCCCACCAATTAACTTGACCCTAGTGAATACATCAACATCTTCGGAGGGCGGTTTCAAAATAAAAGGATTCCAAATAAAGCAGACGGCCGGTACCTACAAGTACACTCTACTAGCAGAAAACAATGAAGGAAATGACTCAAAAACGGTTGAAGTAGCCGTTCTGGGTAAGGATTCAACGCTGTTAAATTTCATTCAATGTAGATAAGACATTTTGCAATTAACAGCCATAGTAGTTCGCACAAACAGTTGTGTTGAATTTTGTCGTTATTTTATCCGTTGACGATTCAGTTCATTCGGGGAAAAATGAATGTACAAAGTTTTAGTCTACTTTTTCTTGTTTCGCCACTGTTTTGAACACGGGTAATTTATGTCCATTTAGGTTTGTAAACAATACGAATTTACCAAAATATAATATCGGAAATTCGGTTTTACCCTTAATCAATAAGTAAAAATGAAAATTCGTTATCAATACTGTATTAATGCATTTATCGAAGTGTACCGCTTTCTTGAGAAATTGTCCCTATCAACTGCCTTATTCATGCGCAATTCATTTTGTAGATTGCAATNGAAGGAAATGACTCAAAAACGGTTGAAGTAGCCGTTCTGGGTAAGGATTCAACGCTGTTAAATTTCATTCAATGTAGATAAGACATTTTGCAATTAACAGCCATAGTAGTTCGCACAAACAGTTGTGTTGAATTTTGTCGTTATTTTATCCGTTGACGATTCAGTTCATTCGGGGAAAAATGAATGTACAAAGTTTTAGTCTACTTTTTCTTGTTTCGCCACTGTTTTGAACACGGGTAATTTATGTCCATTTAGGTTTGTAAACAATACGAATTTACCAAAATATAATATCGGAAATTCGGTTTTACCCTTAATCAATAAGTAAAAATGAAAATTCGTTATCAATACTGTATTAATGCATTTATCGAAGTGTACCGCTTTCTTGAGAAATTGTCCCTATCAACTGCCTTATTCATGCGCAATTCATTTTGTAGATTGCAATCATTTGTGTCGCAGTACAGGTTCGATAACAAGTTCTGACAAAGTTACCAACGAACACGACTGTAGTAAAAGCAACATAACACATAACTGGAATTGTATCCCAACTACAACTACTAACTTGTGAGTATATTTCATTTTTCACCTTAAATTAATTGGCCTGGTTTTCTTACCTTTTAACATTCCCATCGTTTTATCCCAGTTTCACACACAAACTACAAAATGCTCCAAAATCCCGACCCTGAAACTAAGAGAATCTTTTGGCAACCACTATGTTCTTGTTTTACTTTAATTGACAAGAGCGCCAGGCAACTTTCTAGTTACAAGCGCTCTAAATGCTGACGATCAACCTTGGACTTTCAAATGAGCGTGCGTACAATGCAAAACTTGCCCTTTCATTTACAATGTGGAATAAATTTCGACTGTACGCTTTCACTTTCCCAATCGTCATCTATAGCATAACCTGCTGCACGCTATTGAATAAGATACAAGTGGACGAATCAGTGAGAATTCTTATGCTACAGATGTCTAAAGAAATGACGCAGGTGCATCAAAACCTGCGGCGCGCTATTTCAACCTTCCTATCCTTCCTTCAAGCATGCAGTCTCTTTTGTACCAAGGAATCACAGAGCTTTGCAAAAGCCTTATCTTTCAAATCGGCCCTCAAAATTCCCACAGAATCAATAAACGCTGCTCTATCAACTAATTCATTACTATTTTTTACACATTGCCATGTTCCCGGCCACCAATAGCATCTCCTAATGTTTAACGAGTGTCCGTAATCGAAACTAAGAACTAACGTTTATCTACTTTTCATTATTATTATTACCATTATCATTATCATTATCATTATCATTATCATTATCATTATCATTGTCATTGTCATGTCATTGTCATTATCATTGTCATTGTCATTGTCATTATCATTATCATTATCATTATCATAATCATTGTCATTGTCATTGTCATTGTCATTGTCATTGTCATTGTCATTCTCATTGTCATTCTCATTCTCATTGTCATTGTCATTGTCATTGTCATTATCATTATCATTATCATAATCATAATCATAATCATAATCATCGTCATCGTCATCGTCATCGTCATCGTCATCGTCATCGTCATTCTCATTCTCATTCTCATTCTCATTCTCATTCTCATTATCATTATCATTGTCATTGTTATTGTCATTGTCATTGTCATTGTCATGGTCATTATCATCATCATTGTCATTGTCATTATCATTATCATTATCATTATCATTATCATTATCATTGTCATTGTCATTGTCATTGTCATTGTCATTGTCATTGTCATTGTCATTATCATTATCATTATCATTATCATTATCATTGTCATTGTCATTGTCATTGTCATTGTCATTATCATTATCATTATCATTGTCATTGTCATTGTCATTGTCATTATCATTATCATTATCATTATCATTGTCATTGTCATTATCATTGTCATTGTCATTGTCATTATCATTATCATTATCATTATCATTCTCATTCTCATTATAATTATCATCGTCATCGTCATCGTCATTATCATTATCATTATCATTATCATTATCATTATCATTATCATTGTCGTTGTCATTGTCATTGTCATTATCATTATCATTATCATTATCATTGTCATTATCATTGTCATTGTCATTGTCATTATCATCATCATCATCATTGTCATTATCATTATCATTATCATTATCATTATCATTATCATTATCATTATCATTATTATTATCATTATCATTATCATTGTCATTGTCATTATCATTGTCATTGTCATTGTCATTGTCATTATCAATATCATTATCATTATCATTATCATTATCATTGTCATCATCATTATCATTACTGAAGATGATGTGAACTGTGGAAATAAAAACTTTAAATGAAGATGTAATCATGGCAGTAGTAATTGCAATTTAAACAATGCCAGCTCGATAATTTGTTCCTGTGAGATCAATATGGTTTTTCTATTGGCAAGCGGATTGCCATTAAGATCTTCGCTGATATTTTATAAGTTACAGGTTTTTGAATGATTACTTTGACCCTCTTTACTTTAACTTTGCTGCAGGGATTTATCGTCAAGCAAGATCGAGAAGCTCCCGCCAGGAATATTCAAAAATCTTTCTTTTATGGAAAAGTTGTAAGATAACCAAATATATATATATTTTTTTTATTCAGTGTTATTATTTGAGGATATGATAGTATAGAGCAGCTATCCCCCAGAAAGCGGTGGTGGATGACGATAGGTGTCGAGGTTTATATCTGGCACTATGCACTCTCCCTTAGAGGGATGATAGTTTTACTATTTATCAGTTGTTTACTTTTTAAGTGCTATATTTAACAATTAATGAATGAGGCTGAGTATCTTATGAAGAATTATGGAGATCGAGGAGGGTGTTATACGGCCTGGACGGATAACACCCTCCGAGATCTCCATAATTCTTCATATGATACGAAAGCCGAATTCAATAATTGTTTTATTATTCATTCAAAATAATTCCTAGTTTAAAAACATAGCTAAAACAAGCTTACCTGCATCGATCTTAAGTTTATCTTCGATAGTTTACGTTTAGGTTTGTCCAGTCCAGCTCCGCAAATATTCTTCAAATAGCAGATGTCGCTCTCCTAGCTGTCTGTTTGCTGTTTTTGTTATGTTTTTAGCCATTATTTCGCCCAGTTCCAGCTGTAGTTTTTACTCTTGAAACGAGTGAGGAGTCCGCCATTTTAGTTTTTACAACGAGAACAACTCAATCCCGTCCCCAGGTCTTCTAGGTTAACGGTACAATAACCTATAGAAGGTTGCATTTTTGACGTCATTTCCTCGTTAAACACAAAATTCTTCCAAATTTGGTCATCAGTAACTGGTTATGGTGAATTATGCGTGTGCTTTTAGCCAATCAGAATTGGGGAAATATTTTGAATGAATAATAATTTGGTTTTATTGAACGTGTTTCCGGGGATCTCATCGAGTGTATTTTTAGGATTTTCTTGTAAATTATATAAGATAATAGTTTTCTATCTACAAGTAAACTGCAACAAGTCAAATTATGTCGTTTTCTTGGTATTTTCTGGTAAAGCTGGTTTGGTTGCCCCCCGCCCATAAAAGTGAATACGGGAGGGAGTTACGGGAGTTAATCAAAACGCGCACTGATTAGGTACAAATTAAATTTATGCTCTTATTATCTTAAAAATTAATATCACTGTCCTGATGATTGGGAAACTTCTCATGGCAGCCTGATCGGACAATAGGGGTTTATTTTTTTCACTAACTGTCCTCTTTTGTAGTTTGTGAGTAACTCTTCAAACACATTGTAACCATTTTTAAAAGCTCTAATCGGAATGTAAACATCTTTGCTCGGTTTGCAGAGAAATGTGCCAACTTGACATTACAATTTCATGTTTAAATAATGTCATATCACTGCCTTTAAAAAGAACTGTTTTCAGAGAGTTTCTTTACAAAATATGCCTCGCGCCGCACACTTTGGGTGCGCCATCAGGGAGGTCTTTCTATCGTATACGTACTGCAATGTTGCTGCACCAGTGGGGTATGCTAAGCGGCTTTCCTTAGCTCAAAACATTTTACCACGTCGCTTATTTTTGCTTTTACTTTTTTCAAGTTTCGCTACGGATAATTAAGGTGGACTGGCTTACCTACGATTATCAGGCCTTCAACGTTATCATTGCCGTTACACGCTGAGTTCAGTTGATCTTCCTGAAAGTTAGCCTCCAATGCACTGAGGCGGTTTTAGGGAGTCGTATTCCCTTCCTCTCCACAAGAACCTGCTAACCCGAGACCAACAATCCTTTCGAAATGTTTTTTCGAATGGTAATGTGACCAATCAACAGTGAGATATATTTTCTTACAATTACCCGCGCATTCTATCTACCTTGAGAGATGTGGACGCTGTGAAGTCAAAATGCAATTATTTTACTTATCATTGCACCAAAAAAATGATTGAAAGCGAATACAAGCGTTTTTTGTGCGACGGTCTAATTCAGTCATCTGCTGGAAGAGTACAGAATTTGCGGAAAATTGGAGATGACATTCCTCGCTTGATCGAGTGGGCAGGGGGTGAGAAATTTAGCAAATAGCAGAGCTTTGGATCCGGGTTGTTTACTTACGCGCCAAATGCCAAAAAAGGCTCAGTGTGATTAGAAAAAGCAAAGAAGAATTAAGAAGACATCATTTACATTTATGTGGCAGTCTGTAAATAGAAGGGTATATCAGCAAATTTCGAATAAAAATGTTGACGTTAGAAGTGAAACTTTACACTTCATGCAACAACAAAGCGAACTTCAGCGTTAAAATCTCTGAAGTTTTCTTACCCATCTCGACACATGGAACAAAATTACTCCATCTTCCCTGCTCTTAAAACTGCTTTATAACCTACCTCATCAACATAACTTTTCCACGTCGATGGGACAGAATCTCTCTCCGACGTTCAGTGTTCCACCGTGCAGAAAGCAACCGAATACGCTGTTTCCTCTACTTTTCCGTGTCTTCTGGCTACAAATCGCGCAGACTGACTAGGATACTCTGATGCGAGAGGTGACACAACTACCGCTACGTGACCCGAAAAAGTGGTGACTGAGGCTATCAATCACCGAATGTTAAACTGGTTAAACAAGCGATTTGCCATAGCCAGTCAGCAAACTAGCGTATATGTCGCCTTGTTACTTTAAAAATTCGTAAATCGCCTTTATGTTAAATGAATTTAACCGAGAAATCTTAAACTTGATAAACACGGGTGCTAAAAGCTCTATCAAGATCATTTTTCCTGGCTCCGTTTGCGTGAAAAGCTTTTGTGTGCAAGGTAAACTCACTAGATTTTGGTAGGTACCATATGCATTTGATTGGCAAAGCGGCGAAAAGAAATGTTGGTCTTGGCTAAGCAGGCGTTTGTGGGGAGGGAGGAAATACGACTCCCCTACAAGAGCCTGCGTGAGAGGCTACCTGAAAGCCCAGTTCCTACATGTAGTTCAAAAACCGGTCAATTTTGCTTCGTTAACTGACAGTTTCACTTTATTATTTTCAAAATTATTTAAACTCATCTTGAATGCAAACACGGCGAACATAGAACAGCTTTTCGGGCCTGAAAAGTTATCG